CTTTATCAAGTCAAGAATAATTAGATTTACTTCATGGAGGATCATTTAAAAGCTTGTTGGTCCAAATAAAGATGTATTACTGCAATAATACAATAAGTGACAACTATCACTTTACTAGAGTACAGAGTACAGTATCTCTGCAAGATATGCCTGTACACATGACATAAACACATGCCTCCCAGCAGACCTAGGTTTGGCTGGACAGTACAGGTTTTGGGCTTCTTCCTCCCCTTCCCAAGTTAGTTTCTTGTCTCCAGTAAGTGCTTGCATTGTATTAGAGGTACGTGACATTAGTGATTTTTGCCTGAACAGCTTAGTGTCAGCATTCACAATAGGCTGACATGCTCCCTATTTGTGCAAATCTGCCCATTTTCTATGCAGGTCTGCTCCCCTCATTTCCTCAACTCTTTCCAGTCTCACAGTTCATTGATAAATCTATCAATGGCCTCTGATTGGTCAGTTTGTCAGAACAGACTCAAAGTTTTGGCCAGGAAAAATGGGTAGGTATGCACAAGCTGCAAACACCAGATCTTCCAGCTTTTTCGTATACCCTCAAAGAAAGCATGCAGAAAAAAAGGCATGTATGTTTTCTTTAGGGGGAACTAAATAGTGAAAAAAAAATCTTTTCCTTTTTTTTCAGTGGAGTGTTCCTTTAACATTAAATTTAGCTTATCTTCAATCCCACTCATTAAGCGGTAGTGGTTCTGGTGCTAAGAATGTGCTTTCGACATTATCTTTTGTGTTATTTTATCCCACTGGCTTTAAATTGTAAGCTTGTTTGTCCAGGGCTCTTACCAATTATTGATTATAAAAGTCAGTCAGTGAATTGATTAAATTTAGGCCATCTATTTTACAGTGCTGCATGTTGATACTTTATAAATAATAAAGAATAATTGTAAAAATGTTGGTGAAAAAATTGTCATAATAAAGATCGCTACCTCTAATTGCTCCCATTGATACTGTAACCTCCAATAAACCACCATAACAATTATTTTTGAGTTACTGTGATACATAGTGAAGAAAATATGCTTGTTGTGAGTTTTTGCTAAATGTTGTCTAATCTCAGTGTTTTCTTGCAATTATTTGCATAATATTATTATTATTAATTATATAGCGCCAACCTGTTCTGCTGCATCTCACAATAATACATTAGGGATATAAAGGAACAAGTGTTAACATACAAGGTACTGTTGACAGAGATAAGAAATGAAGACGGCCCTGCTAAAAATGAGCTTACAATCTAAGAGCGAGGGAAAGAAGAACACAAGTCGATGGAAAGTGTGTCAGAGGGGACAATGATGGATATGATGGCTGGGCTTAGTTACTTGTGTGGAGTGTGTGGAGGCAATGTAGTGTGGTAGGAAAAGAAACCGTTCAGTGGCCTGTGAAAGCATAGGTTATATAAGGGTGATGGGTGGATCTTTTTGATACATGAGATTACCCAGGAAGATGTTAAAGGGATACTATATGCATCAAAATGGCTTAATGAAGCATATTTAGTGTATAAATCATGCCCCTGCAGTTTTACTGCTCAATTATCTGCAATTTAGGAGTTAAATCACTTTTGTTTCTGTATATGCACTCCTAGACATGCCTCCTCTGGCTGTGACTGACACAGTCTGCATGGTATTTTATTTCATTTTTAATCAAGTTTTTATCTCCCACCCGGTAAATTGAACTTTAGTCACACATAGGAGGTTCCTGCAGAGTCTAGCAGGCTATTAACAGAGTCTAGATATTCAAAATTAAACAGAATTTGCAATAACATAAGTTAAAATATTAGATGACTCTTTACAGGAAGTGTTTAGGTAGGCTGTGTAAGTCACATGCAGGGAGGTGTGGCTAGGGCTGCATAAACAAAGTGATTTAACTCCTAAACTGAGCAGTGAGACTGCAGGGGCAAGTTGTTTTGGTGCCTGTAGTATCCATTTAAGCTTTCATAAAGAAGTGCATTTTTGGAGATTTCTTAAAGGACTGGAGGCTAGCAGAAATTCTAATTGGACAGGGTAGTGCATTCCACAGAAAAACTGCTGCCCTTGAGGAGTCCTGTAGATGAGAATTAGCAGGTCATTAGCGAAGCAAAAGGAATGGGAAGTGATACATTTATTGATTAGAAAAGAAATGTAATGGGGGCAGGGGTTGAATTTTAAAGCGTGTTGTGTGTTAATGTCAGTAGTTTGCATTGGATCCTGGAGGATACAGGAAGCCAATGTAAAGACTGACGGGGGGAGGGGAGGGGGGGTGAGTTGAGAGAGGCGCAGCGGATGAGGTAGATAAGCCTGGCAGATGAATTCATAACTGGTTGGCTGGTGTTATGTGGGTGTGGGGAAAGCCACTAAGGAGTTGACATAATCAAGGTGCGAAATGATGAGTGCATGAGTAAGTAGCATGTGTCTAGGGTCACCTTAAATCAAATGGGCAAGTCAGACATGGATCCCTAGCTCACTGTGTCTGGAGGATTATCTGCTACTCCTCACTGATGAGGCACAAAAAAGACCAACATAACTGTCTGGGTTTGCTGTAGACAAGTAGGGACTAATCAGAAGGTCAAGCTACTACGTTTTTACTGGTTCACAGTGTTCCATTTCTTTTCCTGCTTTTACTGTTCAGGATTTGTATAAATATCCATATATTTTAACGAATTTGGTTTTCCAAAATCAGGAACATTTGTCAAAACTTGTGAAAAAGAATCTAAAAATAATAATAAATTGATACCTGAATAATAATTATTATACAGAATTCTATGTCTGAATATATTATATTGTTGGAATGGTATTTTAATTTAATGAGTATAACTAATATGCTACAAAATCACATTCCAATAGTTCAACAGGAAAACCGTAAACTCCAAACAAACGTCAAATTAAAATACTTTAGGATATAGAATCCGATTTGTTATAGTGTGTGAAGTGTTTGAAGCCTGATTTCCTGTTTGTGAGAGGGCTGTTGTGTGATATTTTGTCCTCAAGTTTAAAAATGTGAATTCCTAATGTAGTGATAACTGCTAGTCACGCATATAAATGGTTCAATGTAAGGTTAAGTATGTAGCCAATACTCCTTGTGACATTTGGGTATGGACAAGGCTGCAGCACGTACAGCCTTCACATCCCAAAATGGCATTCGAAACTGTAGTCTTTACCTCTCTATAATCTTTTTGCTATATATTAGCAAGCAACATGGCTACTGATACTGTTATGATAAGCTTCTGGTTTTAAAGGGAAACTGTCACCACTTACAAACATGAGTTATACACTTCTGTGACATCCAACTCCTGTCCGACTGAGCTCTTTCTCAGCTCTTTGTTGATTTGCCCTGTTTGGGGACACTTACACAAGCACGGAAATCCTCCTCCATAATGTCGACACGCTGGCTTTGTTACCAGTGTGCTGGCGTCTGAACGGAGTGATGTCACATCTCTCCGTTACTATCCACCCTAGTCAGCACTAACCGCATTGGCGAGGGAGTTACCATAGATCTGTGGTTTGTACAGGTGGAGAGCAGAGGGACCTCTTCTGCTCTCCCTGTCTCTCAATTCGGCATTGAGTGTCTGCAAAACTGCTAGCAGAATGTATAGATAGAATGTGAAGCTCTTTTAAAAGTCACTATTGCCAGGCCAGGTTCCCTTTAAATGTCACATATGACCCTCATAGACAGTGGATATTTATGGCACACTTGAAATTCTACTCACTCCAATTTCTTGTGGGCGAGTGGTAATAATACCATATATTATCATTTTTGTCTCACTCTATACCATCCAGCATATAATTACCCAGCTCTCACCCAGGTCATAGGGGGTTCCTAGGCAACATGATCGTTTTAGCTAAGCTCAACTCCTCACAGATTGAGTATAACGTGAGAAGGTTTCCATTGATGTCTGAGGAACACAAATACATTTGTTTTAATAAATGTCCAGTCCTGTCACTTCCATCCGTTAATATGCTTCACTAAAAGCAGTCATGGGGTTAACCGGGAGGTGAGGTTAGAGGAGGGTGAGTTGAATAGTTTCTAACGCAATCTTTTTTTTCACAGTACAGAGTAGTTGAGTCATTTAAATGCATTTACTGGCTGTTAATTACTCATGGTGGGGTTTTCAACGTGACTTAAAAAGCTGAATCTGCCATATAATAGGTAAATGTATATTCAGATTGCTCTGGATTCCAAGTAAATCCTGGGGAAGATTCTTTTGTCCAACATTCAGGGGATGTTACTATTACCCAATTTAATTGTACTCATTATTATTATTATCTACCTCAGAAGAATGAAGAGTTGAGTCAACTCTGCCAGGATATGAACCTGCTTCCTCCAAAGGTTAAACAGATTTTATCTCACCAGCATAATATGTTGGTTGTAGCAGAGCCCTAGTCCTAGCAGGGACTCTTCTCCACTGGATCTACAAAAGAAAAAACCAGGAACAAGTAAAAAACCAAATAAATATTCCACACCTTCCCCAGCAACTGGACGACAGACTGTTCTGGGAGTCACGTATGGCTTTTATGCTCAGTCCCATGCAAGGGGTTTTCAACACAATAACACAAGGGTTTCAATCCCAGGATCCTCTGTGCCTGAGAGATAATTGCGTGAGAAAAATCCTAATTTAATTATCTCTCAGGTACAGAAAATCCAAGGTTACAGGGGTGGTCCTGATTCGGGAGACGAAAGAATTCTGTTCGTATGACGTCCCTCGAATGGAAAAAGGATGAAACAGGCGAATACAAGGGGAGAGTATATATATAAAAGTATTTGGAGGTCTCCATTCTCCTACATTGGTCTTTATATCTGTTCAGCTTGCTATTAAAACAATCTAAAAAGATTGGTTTATCTTGGGCATCTTGGGCATACAGCATCATCTGCTGTAGCTCTGTGACTTTTTTTTTTTTAAGAGATTACAATATGCAAAAAACATTTATGACTGGTGATACAGATGATCAACCATTTAATAGAAGTACAAGTAGCTGAATATCCTTGTTCACCCTATAGATATATAACATAACTAGTGGCGGGTATATTCTAATACTGTTTTTTATGCATACAGTAGCTCATTAGTTATCTGAATATGAAAGAGGGCTATACCAAGCTAATAATCCATTTTAAAACTGAGATCTATGCAAGACCAGTTATTCACTAGTCATATGTATTCCATGTACTAATTTTCACTTGGTGGAAATATATTCCAACCTATCTTTCACTGCTATTTCAATAAGCTACTTTCTGATATTTTGTCACTCCGTTACTTAAAAGACATGTTTTCTCCTAAAAATAGCCTGGTATACATTACTGCTGATCAGATTTTGGACTTGTGCGCAAGTAGATTATTGGATATTTGATACTTACTGTAGCTACACATATGAATAATTACTAATATCTAGGCAAAGGATTACTGACAATATATGCTGTGGTTAATATTCTAACAGATACAGGATGTGACCCTGCATCTATTACTTACACTCCTGTGTGATTTGTTTGTGTGGATTTGCATATGTGTAATCCTCCTTAAATTCCATTTATAGTATTTTGAGTGACAATATCAAGCTGTAAACACTGTCATTGAAGAGAGTGTTTGGTCACCATGTGATCGGCTTTAGGGCATTTTTATTACACTATATAATTAGCCTGCCATGTTACCACTAGTCCGGAGCTTGCATGGAACTGAAAGATATATTTACTAGAAGGGATGATACGATGTGATACTGAATTGCACGAGTAAATTAACTATGCTTTAATAGGCAGCTTTTAGCAGCTGTTTACAATATATATATTCAGGAAGACTCATACAATAGTTCTGAAGATTTGTATTAAACTAACCAAAACTGTTACAAGCTACATTACCATTTTTTTTAAAACAGGTTGAAGACACCTCAATGGTGACATTCATGCTCATGAAACTCTGATGAAGTTACCGTGAGGCATGAAAAGCGTAAGCGTCATTGTAGTCTTGTCTTCCCCCTGTTGCTGAGTCCCAGCCACAAATTTTAAATGAAGAATTTTTGTTTGAAATTTTAAGTATGAATTCCGATTATGTGTTGGCTTAAAATGTATAACTTACAATAAAGCATGTAGAAATATACTAATTTTATAGGGAAATGGGTATGCCTCACAACTGCAAAATTCTAGCAAACAAGACTTGATAAAAAATTACAAAGGTTATGCATTAAAGGTAATTTGGGGCCAACTTTAGAAGTTCCGTTCATACATAGTATGGTTACAGTAATCTAGGTTAAAAAAAGATTTGAGTCTATAGTCTATCGAATTCAACCCTTGAACATGCTTTTAATGCCGATGATCCAAAGGAGGTCCAGAAAAAGCAATTTGAAGAGATGGCCACAAAAAGGGGGAAAAAAAAATTACTTCTTGAATCCAAAACGTCTAAAACCGTTGATTTTGTGACTGCCAAGGCACTGTTCTTCATGCATGGTGGGGCTGTGACCCTATTAAGTACATACTGCGGGATAAACTTCATACACTATATCAACATTAAAACACCATGTTGAGCAAATAAATGTATCTTTCAAACACATGCTTAAGCCTTACTTTGTGTAGCCAGTAAATTAAAAACTATGCTGCCTCAAATTATTGCAAAAATACTATATATCTATATATCTTATTCACGGAAAAACTCACAGATACCTTCCACGATGCTTTGCTTCTATTGTGCATGTCTTGGATGACTGGTTGGACTGCTATATGGATCATTTTACAATCTTGTGAACTTGGGAGCCAAGAGGGCACCTGCATGCGAAGTCCCCTGTGCACTCCCTTTTATTCTGTTTACATCTTTATTTTTCTTCTTCTAATTATTTCCTTCTTTTTCTTCACTAACTTTCACTTTTCTGACTCTCCGACTTTTACATATCACACGAAGTTGGTCAGGAAATTAAAATTGATATTAGATTTTCACGTGAACGATCGTCTGCCCTGTCTTCATGCTATTAATTGCATTATTGGGATCCTATAAATTGTCTTAGAAAACATCTGAATTGCCAGAAAAATAAAGAATGGTAAATCAATCCCCAGCATCTATCTTCAAGCAATGCACAATTTATTGGTAGTATAAATTTCATTACATGACACAGGCCATCAGCCACCAAGATCTCTCAAATCAACAATAACATACTGCCCCAGGTAACATGTTCAGAAACCCATGTTTTTTTAAATTGGTATAATGCCTGTAAAACAATTTTGGATCCACTATAGAAGTAAAAAGCAGCTGCCTAGAATATAATGGCAACGAGACACAGAATCTTAATAACCTCAATAGGTCAGATAATTATACAACTTTTCTGTGGAAGATATTTAAAGTAAAACAGTTTCTTCCCCGGAAATGTCACTATTGATTGATAAAAACTTATAAACAACTATAACTTGTGTTCATTTTTTCTTTTCTTCATGTGATGCTCTATATCAGTGGTTTCCAAAACTGTGTGCTGGCAGGTGAGAGAGGACCCAGGGGCGCTCTAACTTGCAGCTCCGCCAGGTTCTCCTCTCGAAAGCTCAGAGTGTTGCAGCGGTTACCATGGCAACGCTCAGAATCTTGTGAGAGTGAACTCTAGCAGTTTCTGAGGCCCACCAGCGATTGCAGGTAAGCAGGGAGGGGGATATGAAAAGTATTATTTTTAATACTTAAATTAATTTATTATTTTTAGTACTTTAATACTCCCACGCCCACAGACCCCACCTCACACAATAACTCCCCCCATACACACACATTACCCCCCATACACACACACTGCCCCCATATGCACATAATTACCACCCATACACACACAATTACCCCATACACACATTGCCCCCATACACACACACACACATTGCCCCCACTTACACACAAACTATACCCATCACACACACTGTACCCCTCACACACATTGTACCCCTCACACAACCTGCCCCCAACACACACTGTACCTCTCACAAACACACTGTAACCCTTATACAACCTGCCCCCCACACACACTGCCCCCCCACACACAGTACCCCTCACACACAAGCTGCCTCTCACACACACACACACACACACACACTGCACCCCTCACACACATGCACACTGCACCCCTCACACGCACACTGCACACCTCACACACGCACCCCTCCCACACTCCACCACTCACATACACTATTGCCCCTATCCCGGCAGATCCCTGCAGCCCCTATCCTGGCAGATCCCAGGTAAGTTGTCAAACTGTTCTTAAACAGTTATACTGCTTACTCTGGGAGGGCACTACAGCCCTATTGGCACCATAACCACTACAAAGTGCTGTACTGGTTATTGTGCCTGGATTGTTTCTTTAAATAATCTACCAGTGCCCCTCTCAAGATTAGGTTCTGGATCTGCGCTTGAACGGCAAGCATTTCTGCCAAACAGGGTCCCAGTATATGCCGCTGTTCTGTAGATATATACAACCTAAAACATTTTTTTACTTGGGGCGTTATGGAAAAATATTAAAATATTAAGGGCGCCTTGAACCTAAAAAGTTTGGGAACCACTGCTCTATATCCTTTACATTTTTTTAAAAGATTTAGCAAGTGGTATCACAATCCAGTCTGGTCCAGGCACAACCAGGGCACACAATGCACACAATTTGCCCCAGGCAAACGAAGCACACGCATCCAGCCATCTAAAAGAAAACGTGATTCATCAGACCAGGCAACCTCCTTCAATTTCTCCATAGTCCATTTCTGACACTTATATCCCTATTGAAAGCGCACTTGGTGGTGGACAAAGGTCATCATGGGCACTCTACGGCTATGCCACCCCATACGCAGCAATCTTTAAAGCACTGTGTGTTCTGACCCATTTTCTATCATGGCCAGCATTACGTTTTTCAGCAACTTGAGCTACAGTACCTCTTCTGTGTGATCGGATCAGAAGAGCTAGCCTTCACTCCCCACATGCATCAATGAGCCTTGAGCCCATGATGCTGATGCTAGTTCACCAGTTGTCATTCTTTGCACCACTTTTGGTGGATACTATCCTCTGCACACCGGAAACACCCCACAAGAAATATTTGGCCCTTGTCAAAGTCACTCAAATCGTTTTGCTTGCCCATTTTTCAAGAACTGACTGATTATTTACACTTGTCCTGACTTGATAATTTACACTGACTTGATCATTTACTCTGTCCTTTCTCACCTTGACTACTGTAATCCGCTTCTCAGTGGTCTTACGTGCTCCCAACTTGCGCCGTTACAGTCCATAATGAATGCGGCAGCGAGGCTCATCTTCCTGTCCGCCCGCACCTCCCATGCCTCACCCTTCTGTCAGTCCCTACATTGGCTTCCTATAAAATATAGAGCTCAATTTAAAATTCTGGTTCTTGCTTTCAAATCGCTACATAATGCTGCTCCCACCTATCTATCCTCCCTTATACACAAGTATGTCTGCTGAAGACTTACGTCTATCTTCTGTCCATACTCCCACCTCTGATGCTCGCTTTCAAGATTTCTCGAGGGCTGCACCGTTCCTGTGGAACTCGCTTCCTCCTCCGTTAGATGCTCACCCAGTCTCTACTCCTTCAAAAAATCGTTAAAAACCTACTTCTTCATAAAAGCGTATCAATGAAACTGTTAATAGCTCCTGACTGATTCCTCTTCTACAACTGTCATTAGTCTAATACTATCCTTACCTTTTTGTACCACTTTACCCCACTCCCTCTAGCATGTAAGCTCATTGAGCAGGGCCCTCAACCCCTCTGCTCCTGTGTGTCCAACTTGTCTGGTTACAACTACATGTCTGTTCGTCCACCCATTGTAAAGCGCTGTGGAATTTGATGGCGCTATATAAATAACATAATAATAATAATAATAATAATTTACTGCCTAATATATCCCACCTCTTGACAGGTGCTATTGTAACAATATAATCAATGTTAATCACTTCACCAGTCACCTGTCAGTGGTTTTAATGTTGTGGCTGAGCAGTGTACATGATGGTGCTAGTCTTGTAGACAATATTTTAGGTGCTTATAACTTTTGTACAGTTTCTACAAAACTACAATATTTTACATTGTAGGGTTAAAAACTACAGGGCCAGGGCTGACTGTCATGACTGTCAGAGCTCCTTGCTAATATCAAGCCTTTGGATGCTAAATAGACATAACCTGGACATGGTCCATATAATATCAGACCTTCGAGTCTTTGGCCTTGGGGTCTGGTGTCCCGCAGGCGGGAGAAACGACTGATCTCCTGATCTTGGGCTACCTAACCACAGACTGTTCTATTGGCTGTGCCCCACTCCATGGATTAGTGGGGGTTATCCCGGTCCCTACTGAAGTGGCTCTGTTATCACTAGCCAACATTTTTGAGCTTTACTGCCCTCAGTCACATGGCAGCTGACTCCTAAGATGGTGGTTGTCTTACTGCCAGAGAACATTCTCAATTGACAACATCTCTTGCTTTTGACCACATCTGCTTGAGATTTGGGGCCAAGCTGGACCAGCAGACGCTACAGTCTTCCTCTTCTCAGTCCTCTAAGCAAAACAACCGGGCTTTGACCATACCAGAAGCCCTTAGAGACAACTACTCGACTATGCATACAAGACTACAAGCCTTCATCCTGCACCTTACCCCAACTACCAGGAGGCTGTAGCCATTCATCATCACCACCACTAACTTGGACAGAGAGTCTCTGTGACGTTTAATACTGGGCCTGCCTATACCTTGGGAATATGCTTTGTCGGTGATCCCAGTGAACCTCTACCAGTATAGAACCATTGGGGTATGTACTAACCATCCTGCTAAGGCACAAGGCTGGGTACTGCTCCATACTTGGGTCCAATAGAGGGCAATGTCTTCTATCTCTCCTCGCTTAAAGGAGAACTATAGTGCCAGGAAAACAAACTTGTTTTCCTGGCACTATAGCTGCTCCCTTTGTCAAGACTTTGTCAAGGCTCCCCTCCCCCCATGGTTACTAACCCCTTCTGTCACTTACCTGGGTCCAGCGCCGATCTCCCGCCACTAGAGAGGAAGGTAACCCTAACAGTTGATTATTGCAGTTTGTAAAAACTGCAATAATTACATGCTCAGGATTAAGGGTGATGAGTGTTTGCATCCAGACCACTTCAATGAGCTAAAGTGTTCTGGGTCCCTACAGTGTGCCTTTAAGAGGACTTCCAGAGTCCCTGAGTCAAGTTGCAGGATTGTTTCCAAACTAAGAAATAGGCTGACTCTCTGTGGTGCAAGGCTGGCGCACGGGGGAACCCAGTGCAAGTTTCAAGCTGTCTTTTATGTTAATTATATATTATTTATTTATTTATAAAATATTTTACCAGGAAAGATACATTGAGATTTCTCTCGTTTTCAAGTATGTCCTGGGTCCACAAAACATTGCACTGATACAATAGGATACAATAAAATACAAAAACAATATTAATACACAATTTATACAAAATTTAACATAGAACAGGCAGGAAATATATAATCAACCATAACACGTGCATTCTGTTGTGAGGTGTATAGAGAGGGATCTCTTAAAGGACTTTAGGCTTAGGGAAGATTTTAAAGTGTGCGGGTGCTCTGTAGTAAAAGGATTGCGATGCTCTGTAGTAAAAGGAGAATCGGGCTGCTTTCTTTTTGTATTGTGGTAGACTAAATGAGATGCTGGTACTGGATCGGAGGTTATATATATAGAGTCTTTTAATAATTTTAAGCTATTACTTCAGATCCTCCAGTGGTTATGTTTCACATTATTATAGCTAGATGTTTTGCTTGTTCTATATCCTAACACTAAAATGAGATGTTTGATGATTGACAAAAATAAATAAAAATAATAAAATTACAGGGCCACTGCACCCAGACAGCTTAACTGAGATAAAGTGGTCTGGGTGCATTTAGTGGACCTTTAATAGAACAGTATAACAAAATAATGGCATCTTCTATAGCTTTTGATGAAATCACAGGTTGAGGGCTATAAACAACAAGTGCAAATGATGCAAATTGGTGACAGGTGTGTAATTAATCTACTATGCATGATTATAATGCATGAGTACCATTAAATTGGGTAATAGCAACAACCCCAGGATGTTGGGCCAAGGTAACATCCCAAGGACGTACCTGAAAACCAGAATAATCTGAATGTACCTTTCCTGGTTAAATACTTTGTTATTATTATTATTATTATTAAGCCATATTTTTAGTGTGTGTTTCTTTAACATAGCTAACCTGTTAGTGCTCCCAGATGGTAATTAGCCTGGATTTTAATAGACTCAATCTGCAAAATGCAGGAACTATACTTTGCGGACTTGCCTGTTTCCACGCAATATCTAGTATAAACCCATTGCATGGTTAATATGCAAATCCCATACTTTATACAGGACTCACACATGGGGGTTACTGATTTGAAGCCTTCGTATTGTACAGATGGATGTGCTTATTCAGTTGAAATAATCAAATTTTCAAATGGATTTGCCTTTGGTTATTTTAAATGAATTCTGTCAATCCGGATCACCTTTTGGTCCTTAGTGAATAACCCTGACTGTATTGAAACATTTACATCAGTAATTGTCACTGTTTACTAAAAGCTACAGCTGCTTTCCTTTATGACTAAATATAAGCAATTATATCATTTTCCACTTGCCACAAGGGTTGTTCTAGTTCCACTTTGAAGCGCCTCTGTCCCTTTAATTAGCACAATGCAGATTGAGCAAGATGTCAGCCTACACGGTCATCAAAAAATGCTTTTATTGTAATTTACGTTTTCTAAGGGATCCTGATAATTACACCTAACATTGTAATAGAAATGCTGCACAATGAATTCACACCCGTATAACTCAGAATTATAATTATAACCAACATAATTAAAAACAGAGACTCGTCAGCATTATTGTGGAATAAGCAATTTCCATTTAATGTATAAGACCTGAACGCCAGAAACAAAGTGCTGTGTTAGCTGCTGACATTTATTTACTTTGGTCTATCTGTAAGCATAGCTCAAGGAAATTATTGTTAGGCCTCAAATTAATCTTTTGAATTCGATTGTTTCTGTCCTCAGGAATATCCTCAATGGGGGGAGCAGGCAAAGGAATGCATTGTCTAAGGAATCGGGTCTCACGCAGAAATTCAAGAGTCCTCTGTTTGGTTTGTCACAGTGAAAACTGCAACAGGAAGCTCACCACAGTCTGAGCCTTAAATTAAACAAAGCAAATCTCTGTGAGGTTGTCAGACTCTTATCTCCAACTTTCACCTGTGTCAGACCGAGGCCTTAAAAAACAAGCTTCAAACGGAAAAAATAAAAGAGAGAGAGAGATCTTTTAATCTTGAAATGTCAAGTTAATGCCACTGTGGTTTGAATGTTCTCCAGAAACTTAGAAATAAAAAAAATAACTTTCTTCAGTTTCTTTTGTTCTAGATAAATGAAGGCCCGTATATTTATGAATATATTTATAGATCGGAAAATAAATTATCAATGTATTTGATGTATTTGCTCAGACACATATATAGTGCGTACATGTAGTTATGTTTTGCAGTGTTTTTTAATTTATTCCTGAAAGGGTATTTCTGATATACAGACATTATGGCCACTGTCTTGTTGTTGCCTATCTCGTATCAAGCAACCTATGACTACAAGACACTGGCATGCAGATAAAGTGAAGATGGAATGTGTAGGTACTATACTGCCAGGACTTTGGAATTTTCAGATTTACAAAAGAGTAACTCCAGACAGAAAGGTAACTTTACATAGCACCACCTTCTAATTTTTTTTAATGTGTAATTTTTTTATTGTTTTCTCAAAGACACAAAAAGTCACATGAATGCATTCATGTGTTTATCGATACAATAGTTACATTCAGTGCAACTAGAATCCACTAACAATATTTTGTGGAAGGCCTACCAGACATACCCTCTCCCAACGTGCTTCAAGTTCTGAGTGATAGTTTGAGCCTTCAGTTTCAGCAACTCCATGATTTCTCCAAACCCCCAGCCCAAACTTGGAGAGTTGGAATATCGTGGTCCTCAGACTTACGAACTGCATCCAACCCTCATATTGCAAAGAGATGT